ATTTAGTTGTATTTAGTTTCAATAACTTTTCTTTATAATGCAATAAAATCTGGCGAGCAGCTATTTAAACGATCGAACACTTCGTTTGTTTATTTGTGGCTTGAAGTTAGGCTCGCAGAAAATGCCGTTCATGGGTTAAATTTAGTAGGAACAACACAACCTGTGACGTAAGCTATATTATACCCAATTAGACATATGATGCTCACTACATGCTCTTGCGCGCTGAAGCCTATCAATTAAAACGTATTAGCGTTTTATATAACATGGATTAGCCATAGGTTGCTCACTACGTGCTCTTGCGCGCCGAATCCAATCAATTTAAAATGAAAACTGTTGCCAGCGCGAGAAAAGAAATATCATCGGTTTTATTGATACATACATACGTACGTATTAGCGTTTTATATAATATAGATAATATTGATAGAAAGAAATGTGTATGCACAAAATAATAGTATTTTTCTATACAAACTATATGTATCTATGAAATTACTTTACACCGAATGCTTATCTTTAAATAAATATAAAAGTCTTGTAAAAATAATTTAAAAATTGCCTTTACGTTAAATGAAATCTTTTTATTATATCTTGTTCCTCTAACATTTTTCATACTTTAATTTTTAAGTCTACTTACATTTTTTAATAGCTTAAAAATAATTTAAAGTAAATTAAAAATTTTCTTAGTAATGTACAGTTAGCAAAATAAAAAGACTATCCTGAATAACATTTGATCTAATGATGGTATTTTTGCGTCCTAGGACTTAAACTTAAAAGTTTGAGGGTTTCCTAAAAAATTATAATTAATTAATTCAGACGATATTTAAGTTACAAAATGAGACAAAAAAATTTACTTTCCCTGAATAAATAATCATTTTTTCCTTAGATTCAGATTTCTCAGCCCCGAAATATAAGTGAGAGCCGCTATCTGAGAAATTTAAAAAATTGAGTAGCTAACAATTCAAAAATTTTTCGACTATTATAAAATAAATTAATAAGTATTTACTAAAAATTATATTTTACATCAAATCTTATTCTATGCAAAAAATTTTAAATTTGCCTATAAAGTTTCCAATAGTTATACTTTTTTTTAACTACTGGCACTGAACTTATGACTCTTTACCATGGAAAAAGCCGGAAGTGTTGCTCATATTGCGCTGCCTGTTACTCATATTGCGTTGCCTTGTGACCAAAGTCACGGATGCAAGCAACATTACCCATGCCACAGATACTCGTTCATAGTGTGGGCCACATTCAGAAAAAAAAGATAAGTTAATTCAGAGAAAGTACGTTTTCCTGTCTGATTTCGTAACCTAAAATATTGTCTGCACTAATTAATTGGCATATTTGAGGCCACCCCGTTAAACCCCTAAGATTAAGTTCTAGAATGAGATGATCCGATGATAAGATCAAAGGTTATTTAGGGTGGTCCGTTTATTTTTTTTTTCCGCCCTGTACAAGTATCGTCAAAAAAAAGATTTCAGATTGGAATAAAATATGTTATGAATGTTGCAATTATTCTATAACAATTATGCATACACTTAAAATAAACCTTTTATTTCATTGTTGATGCTTTAATTTAAATAAGCTTATTAAGTTAATATTTCCCATATTATATTTACATTCC